AATTAGCTTTGCAATCTCATGTGCAAGATGCCCTATTTTGTCTGCTCCTAACATATACCTGAATGCTAAGCCTTTGATTGTTTCTTTGAAGTAGTTGATGGTTATATTGGTCCCAGTAAGATAAATTCGGGTGTAGCTTTTAGATCAAGGGTCCTTGTTTTGTAGGGTTCAATTTTATCATTTGTCAAAACTTTACAACCTCAATTATGAAAGAGCTTTTAATTGAGTTGATATTCAAAGAATTTCAAGATTAAAATTTACTCATTGCTCATTACCTCATAAGGAAACATTTTATTTAAAATGTTCGAATGTCAAATGACTTACAAACATTCAAACATAGAAAGAAAAAAAAAGAAAAACAAGTTTAAACAAGATGAATTTTTTTTATGAGAGTGCAACAAAATTCATGATGGATGCCATAGCCTGTTCCTGATCAGAATGCCTCATTACTCATCTAATGTCCATGCCCCTAAATCAATCAGATTTTGGACCTTGTGCTTCAATGCCCCACAATTCTCAGTGGTGTGCCCTAAGCTCTTAATATGGTAGCTACATATGGCGTTAACATCACGTCCTTTAGGATATGGGGCTTTTTTTGGTTTGGATTGAACTGGAGTCACAAGGTTCTTTTCAACTAACATTGGGAGCAATTCCTCATACGTCATTGGAATCGGATTGATGTGAGTCTTTTCATGAAACATCTTATGAAGTTTGGTCCCCTTATTAGCTAGATAAGATCCCATTATGTTAATCTCAACTCTTTTCTCAATGTCAGTACTGCTAGTGCCTTATCTTTCCTTTCTTGATAGCTCTTTCAATCATTTCTACACACATGATGATGTCAGAGAAACTCTTAGTTGAAGCCCCTATCATGTGGTTAATATATGGATATTTTAATGTATCAATGAATAAAATAATGAACTACCTTTCAATCATTAGTGGATACATTTGAGATACAATATCCCTCCATTGTTGTGCATGTTATCGGAAGCTCTCATCACACTTCATCTCCATATTTTGCAGCGTTGTTCGATCAGGGGTCATATTAGTCATGTGTTTATATTGACCCAAAAAGGCACGACTCAAATCCTTCCAAGAACGGATTTGGGTATGACTCAATTGATTATACCACTTAGAAGTGAGTCCAATCAAACTGTTTTCAATGCAGTGGACTAGCATCTGATCATTATTGGTGTATCCAGTCATCCTTCAAATAAACATCGTGAAATGGGCATTAGGGAAACTAGTTCCATTATGCTTTTCAAAATCATGCATTTTGAATTTGGGATGGAGCACCAAGTCAGAAACAAAGACTAGTTCTCTTGCATCCATTTCATTATGAGAGCTTCGTCATCTCATTCCTTTGAAAGTCTCTCTACACCAATTTTTTAAGTTCTCAGAGATCTCATTCTTGGCTTTTTTTCATCTTATTAGGATCGTACATGTTGTGATCAATAGGATTATCCTGAGGATTTAACACGGTTGCTTGAGTTTTAGGGGCAGAGAAGCCTACTCGGTGGCTTGGAAGTCTGTCGGGCGAAATGAGTAGTTGTGTATTAGCTCGTGCCATCACACATTCAGAGGTTTCCATGGTCAAAGAAATCTTTTCTTTGCCTCTTTCTTGGTTGAACCCAGTCATTTTTACTATAATTTGGTCAACTAGGTTGTCTTGGTTTTACAACATGCAATCCCACAGTGGCCTTTTGCGCTTGTTCCATTTTAGCTTCCCAATCTGTTTGCATTCTTTTCAAATTCTCTTCCAATTCTTTCTTCATTTTCTCAAATTTTTCTTTCATTCTTAGTACTGTGTGAATGAAATTGCACAGTTATAAACACCTCATCAGCCTTCCACGAGATGAATCCATATATCCATGATTAGTACATGTAAAAAAGCCAAATGAATCTCATGCAAAATGCAAATGCAGATGCAGATGCAAAAAGATTGATCCCAACAATGAATATAGTAGAACAATTTTCATCAGAGATAAAAATCTTCACATTACAAGATAGTCCATTTCACAGACATGTTTTCGCTAGGATGTTGGGTCTGAAATGGGTCGATGCTTCATCTCGGAGCTTCGTCCTTGAAAATTATGCCCCTCAACTACTCTATAATCTGTCTCGGTTAATGCCCGTGCAGTACTGAAGTCATGTATCACTCCTTAGTGATTGGCGATGAGACGATAGTAAATAAGACTCTACTACTAGATTACTTCTTAGATCAATAAATCATCTTTTCAGTCTCGTATGTTTCATGATCTTAAGCAAGTTTCCTTCTTGTACTCTCTGAATTTCTTTTAGCCCTCAGTGCATGTCTGTGTACGCAATTGCTTAATTGAAAACTTTTATCTCTCAGTGTGAAAATTTTCACTTAAATATCCCCTTGTAGATCAATATTTTCACATTATGTTATGTTGATGAAATGCAATGCAAAAAAAAGATGAAAAATGACACACACAAAAAAGAGTCAGTACATGTAAGATAATATATATATATATATATATATATATATATATATATATATATATATATATATATATATATATATAAAGTATTATTCAAAGATGAATATAACACCTACCCCATCATGGTATCTACCCGAGCATGCTTTCATTAAATAACAATCCTATCTGAACATGTTTTCTACCCAAAATGATTTGTTTTCAAGAAATTGATTCTAACCGCATGTTATCTAGTTCGCATGTTTTTATTCGAAAAAAATTTATTCTATAAATTTAAAGCAAAATGTAAAGGTTCAGAAATACTCCTTTGCGTAAACTTATTTTGGAACCTACTGACAGACAGAGATTCAATATAGATATACCTAGGGTGATCGTTCTACGGTTCACTACATGCATGGTTTCGGCTCTATGAGGAGAGGGTACTCGAATTGTCCTTGATATCAATGCCCCCTTGGGCTACTAAACCCTCAATCCTAACTCGTTATAGGCATAAATAGACTGAGTTCAATTCGAGGGGGTTCACTTCCTTATACTCATACGAGGAATAAATCCATACGAATATATAAGTTAAGTGTACCCCAGAGGTTATTTTCTAAAATTCATACGAATAATAAATTCTTATGAGATTAAAGCGTTCACCCCTACTTAATTGGGACAAAGCTCGGGTATAGAGCTTATGTCATGCAAATGCATGTGATGTGTGTGAGAAGGAATATACAATCCTTTGACTCAAAAAACGAAAAAGTAAAAACTCTCAATAGAAACATTGACAGAGCTAAAAACAAAAATTAAATCGTTAGTATGAAAATTAAAGAAATTAAAAACTTCAATAAATGGATCATAAGTTAACTATAGACTCAAGCCCATAATTTTCACCACAACGACAATGTGTAAGCGACTTACAGACTGACTCTCTAAAAGTCCCCAGCAGAGTCGTCAATCTATCATAACAATTTTTTTGCAAAACAATTAAATATCATTTTTAAAAAAACAATTATGACTTTTTATTTGAAAAATTGATGATTTTAAATTAATTTGAAAATTTAGAATTGGATTCACCGTCGACCTTTGGACTAGGTAAGTCGAATACATAAAAACATCTTTTAAATGATTTAAAAAAGTAATTTAAATGATAAAAGTTGGTATGCGTTTGTCAAAAATCTGATTTAACGGGTTCGGGAGTCGATTACGCGTGGGGAAGGATTAGCACCCCCACAATGCCTAAAAAATTGGTACTTAGTCGCTTATATATTGCCGCGGTAGTGGAAATTATATATCGAATATAAAGTTAGAATATGATTCATTTATTAAAGTTTAATAAGCAAATTTATTAGGGAATATTCCTTAATTTGAGAAGAAATCACAGGAATTGCACATCCTCTAATAGAAAGATTATCCCATTTATTTCTCCTTTATACGAGAAATGCCCCTCCCCAATGTTATAAAAAAAATCGAATATAAATCAACTATCGATAATTGCATAACATAAATTACTATTTAAAAAACATGCATTGCATCATTTGAATAAAAACGAATTAATTATCATTTAAAAAATCAATTTATTTCGATTTCACATTTTCGTTCGAATGTCTTATCGGATCGCACTACTTCGACCAAGCAATGTTTTCAACACCCATTCTACAAATAAGTATTCTCAAAGATCTTCACATAAAATATTTGAATAAAAATTTAGTTAATAAACAAGCATTTTATAATAACTAACATACATGTGCATAAATATGTAAAGTTAGAAACTAACTAACTAACTATATATATACACACACATATACATATATATGTTATTTGATTGAAAAAAACTTATACAATAAATGCATTTGTCCTGCATAAACCTTTAAATCATGACACGTGCTTCAAACAAATACACATTAACATACATATTAGGGATAGTGATAATCTGCAAACATGATGAATTAGAATACAAAGTAATAAAAATTGAACAAATCAGGTTAATATATGAATAAATAACCATTTAACATAAAATACATATGTACGAATATAAATACATATATAGTACTAATGAAAATGAAACACAAACATTTCATACAATAATTTTAGGAATAAAAACTAACAGAAACAGAACATCAAGGACCTAATGGGTAATAAACCCCAAGCACTAAACCACTAAATACGATGACTAAAATGAACATAATGCCACATTTGAAACCTAAAACATAAAGTACATAATAATAATCTTTTAGGCAGATAAAAATTAACTATAATGAACTAAATCACAAACCAAGGCCCAAAATAAAGTAATTACCCAAAACATGTTAATGAACTAATAGTGGTCAAAATGAAATGTAAATAAATATTGAATCCAAAATGAAACAAACAGAAACCATTAAATGATAACCAAAATGAACAATGTACAAAATTAGCAACCAAAATCTAATTACTTAAACCGATATAATACTAAACAGATAAAGAGCTCGAAATAGAAGGATAAAATTTCATTAAGTGACTGAACTGTAAGTATTACAACACATGGACCCTTCATGCGCGATTAATCCATGCGCGATTAATCCATGCGCTAAGCGTATGTAACCCAAGAGCCAAAACGACATTGTTTCTTTGTGTGGTTATATATCATATTAAGGGTTTTGGAACCATACTTTCTCATTTCATATTCCCCCAGCCATTTCCTAAAGAAGCAAAAAGAGAGTTCTCTCAACTCTCCCCAGCCGCTGTCCATGGCATCCCACTCCGGCTACCGTGGGTTGGTGTCGATCGAGGGTCTAGTTAGCCCCAAATGAATATGATGACTTTTTGGTGGATTTTTTCTATGTTTTCTTTTTTCGAAACTCCTCTTTCACAAAAAAAAAATAAAACTCTCCCTTAAAATATGGTTGCATGCTCTATTTATGGATGATTCTGGGCGAAAACAGTGTTTTTATTGATATTGATAGGGGATGATTTTCCTAGGTGAAATCCCAGATTTGGTGGGATTTTGATTTTTTTAAATGGGGTTTTGGATTTGGTTGTTTTTTTACTGATTTGGGTACTTTGTCACTGTTTGGCCATATTGATGACCATGGCGACGGCTCACACGGATGGGAAGGCGACCGGTGAAGCTCACGCGCCAATTAGGTGCTGGAGGATGAGCGTGTGCATCTCACGCGCTGGCCAAACAGTCTAGATTCCATCGACGGCGGCAACAACTCCTTAGGCTGAAAACCCTATCTGATTGCTTGTGAATCGTTGGATCTCGATTATATCCAACGGTCGAAAATGGGCGACGCATGGGAGAGGGTTCAGCAAAAACCCTAATGGGTTTTTCACATGGGTATTGGGTCACTGTTTGGGCTTCTGGTAATGGGCTTCGGGATTTGGATCTGTAAAAAGATAAAAATAAAATATGAGTATTTTAATTATAATAACAATAAATATTAATAATAATAGTAGTAGTAGTAATACCAATAATAAGGATAAATTAGTACCCAGAAAAAAAACGGGTGTCTACAGAAAGCATAAACCACATTTATCTAAAATAAGATATGTGATTAGATAAATACATGGCCTACCAATGAGACCAGCAAAGAAGGGAGAAATATAGAGGCAACAGAAGAGTAAAAGTAGATTAGATTACTTTGTTAAGAGGGGAGGGGGATATTATTACCATCCTAAGCTTCACTAACATAGTAGGAAATGAAAAAAAAATAGAACAGTTAATCAAGGCACCTAAATATTATGCTCTGTCTAATCATTCCTCATAAAAAAAAATCCCCGTATAATAAACAAGATATAAATAGCAAAATGTTGCCTGCATTGAGAAAAAGTGAAGTCCGCCCTAAAAGTTACCAATTAGAGCAGTCGTTAAATTTCTCCAACTTGCCATGATATCTACAAACCAATTCCAAAACACGCAAAAGAAAGAAGAATTCACATAAAACAAATTTGAACAAGTTAAGAATGGCTACAGTCTCAGCATCCATTAAAGGGAGAAAATTATATAAATAGCATATCACAACAAATTCAAGGTTTACTGATCATGGAACATAAAACTTTAACAGCAGAAACAACAACTAGATGCTAATATGCCTCACCTCTATTGGTGTCATCAGTTCCAGAGGCTTTTCCCAACTAGATTGCCTTGTCTTTTTGTTGTAATAGTATCTGCAGATATGTAACAGCAGTCAGACACAACAAACAAACAAACACTAAATCTCCCTCATGAAATATAATTGTCCAAATAACTTTAAATCCAAATATATAGCAAAATGTGAGCAAAAATCACAATAATGAGGTGCTATATAAAGTTACCTTCTTCCATCAGCTGATGTATGCTCTTGCCAATCAGAAAGATTGCAGAGTAAGGATAGGGACATTTGCAACCTGGCATGCCAAAAGTGAAAAAGAAAAAACAATGAGATTTAAGAGAATGCTAAGATGGGTCGGCAGGGGCAAAAAGTGGCATTAGATACAAAATTTGTTATTGAATAACGTATATACAATTTCTATTTTAAATGCAATGTACAGATATTAAGGAACTCAAGCTCATAGAAATACATAAAACCCGTATGTACTCATTGAAGAAAAAGTTCACTTAAATCTACCGTTTCATAAAAAATTGCTATAAGGAAACAAAAAGAATTGATATGTATTTATTATCCAATGATCAAACCACAGGGAAAAGATGAAGATGTGAAAAGTTCAAGAGGGTATAAGTCTGTTGTCTTTCCTTTTTAAAGTTTTCTTTTGGTTATTTATGTCCTTTTCTTTCTTTCGATTCTCCTTGCTCAGTCTTTTCTCAAGATTGGTCAACTTCGTTAGCAACTTATACTTCTTAGGCAAGTTCTCACCCAAATTCACTTACATATGTTTCTGACCAGCAGAAGAAGTCAATATTAAGGAGAGTATGTAACATTTGAACTGAACACTGAAAATTACATATGGCATAACCTAGTTCTGCTTAGTACACTACATTTATGTCCTGGGGAAGAAGCACTTACCGCTTCCGCAGAAGAAAGGGGAGGTTATTGGCTAGTCTGCAGTGTTGATGTACCAAGTGAAACACTCTGATTTCCAGTTGACAACCAAGGTTGCCCAGCAACTGGGGCAACCGATGCATGCACTTGAGATGTAGGCTGAAACTGAGAAGGTGTGCTGATGTTCTGCGGCAGGCCTAAAGCAGATGGTGAAAACTGGGACACCATAAAAATATCAGAGAAGGTGCACGATATTCCTTATGTGAAGACAACAAAGGGGAAAATAGAAACATAGAACAAGGTCTTACACCATATGATGAAGATGGGGGAATTCCAGGGGCTCCTACACCAGGCATATGACTATTCAAAGGGGGAGCAGATTGATGCGGCGGTTCAAATGTAAGAGGCTTGTTTGTTTGGCCCTATGTTACTTGTTCTGGCTGTTGTGAAGGTGTAGAAAAACCAGGATGATTTGGCCGAGGTGGAAACTGCTGCATTTGGTTAGAAAACTGCATCTGCTGGTTTTGAACAGCTGGCATACCAACATTTGGAGAGGGAAGTGTTGAGAAGCAGCTGAAACAAAGTGATGTCCTTGCTGTGTTGGGACCACTGGTCAAAACTGTGATGGAAAATTCCGCACACAATGCATTTAATAAGTTGCTGTCAAAATATGAAAAAACAGTCGCTAAAAAAAGGAGCAACTACATGTGAAGAAAAGGGAGAGTCATAACTTTGAGGACCCACGGATCCGACTGCAGGAGGCCAATGTGGCTGGGGAAGAAAGAGGATAGGAAAAAAAAATAGACATCTTAGACCTTCATCTAAAAATTAGAATAGAGGAGATTACTTATCTATGTACTTCGAGCAAAAACAACCCTTTCTCATTAATATTAAAAAATAATGCCAGTTCCACCAAGAGAATCTCCTCAGAGTCAGAGTTTCTAATGGCTACATTCAAGTTATTTCTAACTATTTCCAAGCCTTAGGTGATGTTCATAAATTTTGATAAATTTGAACAAAACATGGCAACAGCAACCAAGATTTAACCCCAAAATAAAACATAACCTTATACAAAAATATAGATTACATAAATAAAGCCAAAAAAATTAAACCTAAAAAAATCTACCTGAGCACTAGATGGTTGAGAATTGTTGGCCGTTCCAGAACATATGCAAGTTTTACCTCAAATGGCTGCAAAATAATCAATTTAGAACAACCACACAAAAATATTAAAAAGGAAAAGAAAAAAAAAAACTAGTTTAGAAAGCATTCAAGTCCCAAGAGTTCCCGATACCCGAAAATGCCAGAAACAAATTTACTCCAATCCAATCGTATAAAATAACTGGAATAAAGAATTCAAAATTGGATTATTAATGCTTACAGATATCAAGCGTAGATGAAAGAATTCCAATTTGCGGGAGATCTTAGATCTCAGTAGCGAAATTTTGGGTACTAGGGTTTAAGAGGAGAGATATGTTGAATAGGGAAGAAAAAAATATGTTTTTTCTTTTCGGGAAAATTTTACTAAAAGGTTATTTTATTGCGTAAACTACAAAAATGGTCACTTTTATTTACTTCTAGTCTTCTCTTTTAAAAACATATTTTGATCACTAACACAATTGAATTATTATATTTTAGTCATTGGACGTGGTTACCTCAGTTGATCCGGCATGCTAAAAAATGATTAAGTTCTAATCTAACCCCTAAAATTTAGTTACTATATAAAGTTATCCCTAAACTCCACCTTTCCTTTTTAGTTCATTTTAATAAACCAAAGGAACCATAGTAATCTATTCTATCACCACTTGCGTCGTCACTTCCATGACTTTCTCTGATGGTTGTCATCATCAAATTATTCCTCTTTTCTCCCTTTTTTGTTCGATCGAACTTCCAAACCTCAAAATTTATTTGAGTTGAGTTAAATTAGATTCATACTTAAAATTATTATCCAAAGTCTACCCTTTATTTGAGAGTATGATTTTTCTCTTTGTCCAACTTCAATTTTCAGATTATATCTCTTTAAACTTGAATGTATGACTCGACCATTTGACAAAATGTACTAAAACTCAATACTAAAATTTTCGAATTCTTCAGATTGAGCTTCATTTCAACCGTTATCTACCACAATGATACCCCATTAGCTCCCACAACCATCGAGTCTTTGAATTTGACCCCTTCCTGTACGCCAAACATTTTTTTCCATTTGGATCAACCTTGAATATGGGATTTCCATGTTTATTTAGCATACGGAAGTAAAAAGTCAAGAAATAACTAAAGTAATCCATACTTTTCAAGAACTTCATACAAACAAATAAGAGGAAAACGCTGAAATTCCAAGAAACACTTGCTGATGTTGAAGTTGAACCAGTCAAAGTTCACAAACAACAATTCCCCATCTCTAATCAGTGTCTCTCTGATCAAGAGGAAGCTGAGAAACCCTAACGATATTATCATCCCTAACACTGCATGATCGTTTACAAGAGAAACTGAAGAGTCCCTTCAAACCAGACCCTCCGCCACCATCTTTTTTACCGTTCTTGGTGCTCTTGGTGCACTCTGTGTAAGCAGCCAAAAAGGGGTCATTCTCGGTCTTCTTGAGTGATCTCCTCGAAGAAGTTCTCAAAGGAGGCTGAAATACACATGGAGGGAGAGGGATTTCAATGTCATGCACCAATATCTTGCCGCTTTCGGATCGGCAAGGAGGAGGTGGTAGCTTTTGCAGGCTGCAATCTTCTTCACAGACTTGTAATAAGCCTGTTTCTTTGCATATCCCTGGCTTGTTTTCCCATGAGAAGGGCACTTTCCCTTGGGAGGGGTTCATTTTTTAGTTTCCAATGCTATTTTCAGAGAAGAGATTTGGTTTATGGCAAAGGGTTTTCGTGTAGCTGGTGATTTATGAATTACATAGTTTCCTTGTAATTGTAGCTTATGAAAAGAATTTTGGGAATTAGTTTTTAAACAGTATTTCCAAGACCAAGTCTTACGAGTACATCATATATTGACTCGTAATGTAGAGACACATTAGCCACTGGTTTTATTACCTTGCAGTTTTATTACCTAGGGTCTATGATACATAAAGATGGGGTGTAGATGATGACGTTACACACCGTATAAATACGGGATGGCTAAAGTGGAGGGCTGCTACTAGAGTTTTGTGTGACAAGAAGGTACCTCTAAAACTTAAGGGAAAATTTTATAGAATGGCAATAAGACCAACGCTGCTGTATGGATCAGAATGTTGGACAATCAAGAAGGATCACGTAAGGAGGATGGAGGCCGCATAAATGAGAATGCTTCGATGGGCATGTGGTAGGACTCTGTAGGACATGACACCAAACTCTGCTATTAGGATGTCCTTGGGGGTGGTGCTTGTATCCGAAAAATTGAGGGAGGGAAGACTACGGTGGTTTGAACATGTCTTTATGCGTCACCGTTGGATGCGGTCAGGATGGTAGAGTTGATTACAGTCGACGATGCCAGAAGGAGAGGACGACCAAGGCGGAAGTGGGAAGACTGCTTGAGATCTGATTTGAAGGATTTAGCCCTTACTGAGGACATGGCCTCTGATAGGAATGTATGGAGACTTAAGACCAGGGTAGCAGAGTAGTGCGGGTCACAGCCATAGGGTGTAACATCTCTGTCTTCTTTTTAATGCCTTCATATTAATTTCCATGACTTCTACTTTTTATACATTTCTGTCATTGGAATTTATGAAGGCTAAGAAACTAGGGTCACGGAGTACTGTTGCCTTAGCTTAGCTTTTAACCATTTGACTTTATTCCTTCTCTTAACTTGCTATCGTTGATTTCTGTGTATCATTCTCTTCATGTTTCATCTCTTTAAATTTAGTCGGGTCTTACGTTTCTGTCTATATGCAGAGATTTTTACGTAGGGATTTATTTGCGGGGATTTATTTTTATTTATTTATACATGCATTGCATTTTATCTTTACTTTTAATTTTCTGACTGGCGGAGGTCTTCCACGGAAGCTGTTCTCAACCTGGCGTTGGGGGCAACCTACTACACTACCTCCCCCTTATCCCATTGCATATGAGAATAGGGTTTTGTTGTTGTTGTTGTTTGTTGCACGGTATGACTAGCGATCACAAAATCAGATTAAAAATATGGGTAAACTACACGTTTAATACTCAAACTATTATTGTTTGCTTACCTAACGTTACATTTTAATTTCATTTTGGTCCCTTATAGTTAAAAAATTAACATAATTGTTAATGTGACATTTTTAGAAAAAATAAATGATGATGTAACATTATCTTATGCAGACCCGATTCTGAGATGTTAGTTGTTTGGGGCAAAAATAGATATTAGACCCCTAATAACAAGTATCGAAAAAATTAAACCATAAAAACAAACAAAACTACATAAATTTGCTTGTAAATTGTTTTTATATTACGTTTAATAAACTATCTAATAAATAAATTAAACTTTAAATAGAAAATATCAAGAAATTTTATTAAACACCTAACTACTCGCACAAAATAAAGATGATCATCTTTTACAAGGGCATGTATCAGATTTTAACCTTCCCTATCTTGTAAAAAAAATAACAAAAGAATAATTAAATGAAAAGTGAAAAAATAATTTAAAAAGTCATATCACCATCGCCGTTAATTTTTTAAAGGTAGATAATAAAAAAGAAAAAAATGTGACGTTAAATATGATTTTGAAAAAAATAATAATCGGATGATCAAAATAGAATAAAATAATAGGTAAATGACTAAATAAACAATTTATAATTTTTATATTATTTGTGAATTTACAGTTTTGGGCTCCGGGACAGGCCTGATCTTATAGCAACACATGATGAAACGAAATAAAAAGTGATAATTAGAGCACTAAACGTAATTTACCGTAAAAATAAACTAAATCCAACTTTGTCGCCTTGTCTGCACATTATTACTCATTTTCTTGGCAACAGGACAGATTTTGGTTTAGAAAATTGAAAACGAATGACTTCGGCAAAACTAACAACAAGGGGGCTAGCAGGACAATCACAAAATTCTAAATGATTTGCTTTTTACCACTTGGATTAACATATCTATATCATATTAAAATTGCATCAGGCAGCAGCAAAATTTGACAAATATCTTCTACTTGGCAGCCAGTGTTCTGCTGGCAAATTGATTATCATACATCATCACAAAAACAATTCCCACGTGACATCATATAGAAGGTTTTGGTCCCTATACTATTAAAATTTGTGATTTAATCCTTATATTTTAATTTAACACAATTTAGTTTTCTACTCTTACAAATTTATTAGTGAGTGTAAATAGTTATCATTACCGTTAATCATTCTCATTAAAGTGCTGATATTTTTTTAAAAAAATAGGATAAACTACTTGAATGACCACCTAACTATGGGATTGGGGTCGATATGACCACCGTTTTCAAATTTCATCAATATGACCACTCAATTATTTAATTGGTTTCAATATAGTCACATGACAGTTAACAAAATTGATATAATTATATATTTGACCTTCAATAATTGTACATTCAATCAATTTGGTCTTAATTTTAATTTAATTTAATAAATTAACTCTTCAATCAATTTGGTCCTAATTTAATTTTAATTTAATTTGATGTCACCTCCTGATTAAAGGGTTAATTTATTAAATTAAATTAAATTAAAATTAGGAGCAATTATTGGGGATCAAATATGTAATTATACCAATTTTTTACTGTCATGTAAGCACTTTCGTTAAATGTTAACGACTGGTGGTATTGCATTTGTTTCTTAAGAATTTTCTCTAAAAAGATAGTATCCGCGCGGACGTGTCGAAGATACGTGTTACCACGACCACGATACGGGACGGGACGTCGGCGGTGCGCGAGAGTCCCCCTTGTTCTCTTCCACTCAACAAGGAAGTGGGAAATCCAAGTCTTAAATACCCATTCCCAATAGTGTTTCCAATACTATGTGGGATTGAGCATTGCAAACACTTGAGAATCTTTTACACTATTGCAACACATTCTTTATTGTTTCAAACTAAGATCTTACAAATGGCTTGGGAATCTTTTACACTATCGCAACACATTCTTTATTGTTTCAAACTCCACGTGAATTTGGAATAGTTAAAATGTAAACTTATTTTATTTTTCACTATCGCAACACTTTTTCACTATCGCAACAACACGTTTTTCAAACTCTCGCAACACATTTTAACTATCACAACACATTTTAACTATCACAACACATTTTTCAAAATCGCGTTGCGAATCTTACAATCGCGTTGCGAATCTGGATATTCGCGTTGCGAATTTGGAAACTGAGTTGAAAAATTAGAGTTCGCGTTGCGATTTTGTTGGTCAATTTGGCAAATCCAAAAAAAAGTTGGTTAAAATCGTATATTATAAGGCATTTTCGGTCACTGAGTTATTTTCTCTTTTGAAAATGGTGGTCATATTGATACCAATCCTATAGTTAGGTGGTCCTTCATGCAGTTTAC